ATCCAAGAGGCTGGTTTCAAAGTTAACTCAAGCAAAGTGCATTATTTTCAAGACTCTGTGACTTACCTGGGAGTTACATCCTTTCCACAAGGAAACCCACCTTGGATGAGTTTGTAGGGTAGGAAAGAACACAGAAATTTGCTGCAATTAATTCTAAATGGCACCTCCCAGAACCACACTCAGTAGTCTAACATCTTTGAAACTGCATTTCTTTTTCTTGCATGCAAGAATTAGACTCAGACATTCACATCAATATTCAACGGCATTGACAGGAAAAAACATGCTAGTCATGGTCTTACAAAACTAACCTCACAGGCAAGTATGGTTCTGGCAAAAGTCCAGTGGTTAACATTCAATCATCTCCTTATCCTGTGGTATGTGCTCCAGCATATTTGCCATCTGACATTTTTTATTTCTTTTGATGATGGTGGAGAAAATATCTCAATACCACTAGTGGCCTAGTATTAAAGATGACAATCAAGCATGGTATAAGAAATGTCTTGTCTGCTTTCAGGCTCACAGAGAAATATAAAATACAACTGCCAACACCTCTGGAAGGCCCCTGAACACTCATTCAAAATGATTTAATTGGACCCTTGGCTAAAACAACCCAGGGTCATCAGTGTCCTGGTTACAACTGACAACTTTTACAAAAGTTGGTTAACGTTTTTTCTCTGCAGATGGGCTAATGTTGCCGATGCAGCAAAAATACAGTCAGCATTCTGGAAAGAAGGGGACACCCCCAAGAACAGGAAAGCCAATTAAAAAAATAACTGATATTCATCACATTAATAGGACTATAAACTTCATAAGCAGCATAGTGTGAAGCCCTGTGTATTAGACAGAAACATGACATTAAACATTCCACTCAATTCTTCAGAATAGTGAAACCGCACCCTGCAAACTTTGCTGAACGTCATGGAAAAAAATGGTTTGAATAGTGCCTTTGCATTTAGTGGTTGTACAATGCACACCACATTCCACTACCAGCCTAATGTGATGCCTTATAGTATGGTGACATGAGACAATGTATTCTGCCTAGTAAGAAAGTATATGTTCTCTTAAAAACAAATATTGTAACTTGACAGCACAATTGCTTACTCTGTCTTGACCAAATGCAAGGCCTTTGTAGTTTGTGGTTCTTTGCTGGTTTATGCACCAGCTCCACAAAACCCTGTATTGGAAAAATCAGTTAGGAAATGGATGGATGGGTGGACACTGTCACCTGACTAGTCTGACAAAGATGATTGGAAGCTTCCTTGAGGCTCCTGGGATCAGAAGCTCATCCTTACTCATACATCCCTCAGCAGGCTGAGAGAATGCTGGTACAGTAGCCTGAGTGAACTCATGGGGAAAAAATGAAGGATCTGGGACTTGCGACTTGTACTGTGACTTTGTGTTGTTTTGAGGCCATTAAGCAGCTTAGTTTCCAGGCTTGGTGTTAGGGAAGGATTTCAGTTTAGTTAAGACCTCCAAAGTGAGTAAGGCTTCTGTTTTGTCTTGTATATATTTCTTCTACTACTGAAAAGCTCCTCCAAGACTCTACCACCCAGTGTGGAGGACAGCGTAACTATAACTCGTGTGGTCTTAGGTGTAGTGCATACAAGTGTGTAAGTCCATATTAGTGGGCATACATACTTGCAACGTGAGTGAGATTTTCTTTGAGAGACAAAAGCTTCAACACAAGTAGCTGAAATACTGGCAGTGGATTGGAAGAGGGATGCCAAGATACCACTCTGGCTAGAGATGGAAGGCAGAAAGCGTCTTCTACCGGGAAATGTTACAGAGCTCCCAGGAAAACAATTTCCAGAAGGAGGTCATTTGCAGAAGATAAGCAGGCCCAGTGAAAGCGTACTGAACCTTCTTTTTGCTGCCTTTTTTAACAACAAGAAGTAAAAAATGGGAGTCGTTAAATTGAGCCATGACAGAGTTCAATGGTTCAATGGTGATATTGCAGGGCCTGTGATAACCTGAAGGGCACAAGCCTGGTTCTGGAAGTTTCCAAGGTTGCAAGACAAGATATTGTGCCCAGCCCAAAGGCAATCAAAAAAGTGGATACAGCTTCCAGCGTAGAGTTTGAGGGGGTGTGGGTGGTGAGGAGCCACTTCACTGTCTAGGAATAATAAGGAATTGCTACTCCCATGAGAGGGAGGAAAGTAGGAGATAATCAAGTGGTGGATTTTGGTCCCCCTACTATACCCAGAAGGCTGTAAGGATGACCTACGAGACCTCATTGTCTGACCAATCTCACAAAGGCGATTGGTCAGCTGAGGGAATAAAACCAGGAAGTGAAGCTGCATCAGTGTGCGGCCTATGCAGCCCAACTGTGAGGAAAAGGAAGGCAGTGCAAGGATGAAGCTGACATCTCAGTGCTTTCCGAGAAATAGAAAAAGGATTCGGGCTATGACTTTATGTTTTGACACATTAAAAACAAGCATCATGGTTGTTCAACTCTATGGTAGTTAGGGAATCAAAGGTGTTCTGTTTAGTTAAAAGCTCTGAAGTGAACAGCATTTTTGTTTCCCATTTTGTCTTCTATATATTTCCTAAAAATAAAATAAAAATAAGTCATGTTACCTTTACTTTCCGACTTATTGCTGCCTTTTAACAACAAAAAGACGGGAGTAGTTAAACTGAGGCCAAACTGTTTGAAAGATCCCACCGAGCCCTGCAAATTGGTGTCACAATACAGAAATAAAATTGGAAACTGCAGTATTTGATACTCTAATTTTAAGGGTCGATAGCATCAGAGAACACAGACTACAGTGTTACATTTCTGATATTTTCCAACCTGTACAGCTCTCCCTGTTTTAACTAGGTCATATGGTTTTCATGTGTGACAAAAATATATAATTTATTCAATAAAGGCAGATAACTTTACTTCTCCACTTCTCATTCCATTGTAACAATCAGCCTGATTCTGATGAAAGTTTCTCCACTACTATTAATATCAATTCAATCAGCTCAGCAACTGATGGCTAGCAGCTGGTTTAGCTTGATCTTGACTATCTACTTATAGTCTTCTTATCTTTGCATTCCCACTTCAAATATGGCCTTCGACAGGAGCAAAGATCATTTAGTTAGCAGACATGAACGAGAATTCAAAATCCTGTTCTTATCCAACAAATAAATATGGACTCTTAAGATCCCATCCAGGGATAAATGCTACTATAACAGAAAACAAAAAATAAATAGGTTAAAAGGTGGAAATCAACCTTATGAATAAGGAAATAATATTGTGTAGAATAGTTTCAGTTAGCAACACAAAATACAACACACATATAATGCAAAAAAAAAATCCTTATCCTCAAATGAAACATCTGAGGACATAGCTTTGTAGCTATGCTACAGATAATGGCACAACTTGCTGTATTTTTAAAAAATAAAAATGACAAGAGGATTTCTTTCTCTAAATTCAGTCCTATTTAATTTAACATTACTGTGATAAAGCAATAAGCCATTTTAAATTCCCCCTTAACAGATTTTAAGTGATTACAATATTAACAATGCTGTAAGAATCCATCAATGTAATCATGCATATTGATAAAACCTGCTATGATTAATCCTCCTTATAGCAATTAATTTACTGTTGTGATGACATAAACCGGCCAGATTGTAATTGATGAGCAGAAAGAAGAAAGCTGATTTTGCCAGAGCCTTGCGTAACTTGCCATTTCTTCATTAGGCTGCTTTAAAAAGGGGATTCAAGTGGAATCTTTAATGTGTTCCTTTAATGTCAAAATGATCAAAGGAAGACTGAGCTATTTTAATTTAAAAAAGAGGTAGGGCTGCATGCACAAAACACATCTCCACCTTCAGAAATCCCTGCTAAAATCTTGAGTGATGCTATCCACCCATTTGAGATAACCTCTTCCTCCAATACAAGGTCCTGGAACGAAGGGTAGGAACCTAACCTGGTGAACGCTGGGCCAGGCAGGACATATGCTGGTCTATGCACACGCACTGGCATGCATACAAGGGATAATTCAGAGACACCAATTAATCTGCACAGCATGTCTCTGGATTGCTGAAGGAAGCTCCCAATGGAAATCCACACGACCACGCTGAGGAACATGCAAACTCCACACAGAGGGTGTCCCAGGCCAGAATCAGACCCAGGACTCAAGAGCTCTGAGGCGGCTGTGGTAACGTCCAATTCATGTGCCATCCTTGAGCAACACGAGTGTTGTCCATAACTAAAATTAGGCTGACTGTGTTTCAAACAAGGAAATTGTGGCAATCTGGATTACTACTGTACAACACAAGATGTAGTAAATCATACAGTCAAATCACAACCCTCCTACTCTTTGAAATAGAAGTGACATACAGTCAATATATCATGGCTACGGTTAAACACTGCAGTGAATGAGTATCCCAGTTATTTAGCAAAGAGAGCACTTTGCTACTGCATAACTCACACTCGGGGAGACCCCGTTTGGAATCAAACAATTTTAAGGTAACTGGAGCACAAGTATTAGAGCAATATATGCCCTTAAAATTAACCAACCAATCAGATCTGATGGTGTTCTCAGTAGTAGTGGAAGGGATAAAGGATAACTAGCCTTTAACTTGGATATTCTAGCAAGCTCTTAAATCTTAAAGAAGCAGCTCCTACTGATTGGAAAACTGGAAACTGCAAAGATCAATCAGTTATATGTGTGTGTGTAAAGTTATGGTAAAGATACTAAGACTGGAATTAAATTACCTATATAATATCATACGTAGTCAACTCTAATTTATAAAGTAACCCTAAAATACTCGTAACAAACGGTGACAAACCCACTACCAACATGTTAAAACTCCCAATCTACACAATATAAAAAGCTTACAGCTTCTTTGTCTATATTCTCAAAAAACCTTGGTAATTAAAGTCTTTCAAATATTTTAAGGTGTTTTGTATCCTAAAACGTACAATAACTACTTTTAAATCAATACAAACACATGTACCCAAAAACAGAGATCGCAAAAGCGAATGAAACTGCTGTATAAGATTCACCTACCGGACACATTTCCAACAGTTTTAGAGGCTGCCATGCTTGTTATCCTTCTATCACATGATCCGAACGCGGAACTAAAGCGCTCATCACATACCGATATCTTCTAAGGGCTCTAAGGTGTCGACGGGATTTGAAGTTCTTCACCGCCTATTGACGCAGATTAGAAAACTGACTACAATTCCCACAAGACATCACTGCCCTCTTGCTGTGATAATGCCCTGTAGTTTTGCCTGAGCTCCTGCAATCAGAACAATGCGCAGAGCAGGGCAGAGAGTCTGTAGAGAAGAGTGATATTGCACGCAGTCTTTTTTAATGTTGTGGTGCTGCTTTCGCATTTTTTTTCCAATGCACAGACTGTAACAAAAATGTGGATACCTACAGAACACGAAAAATACGGAGTTGGTAAGCTTGTGTTCTCCTGAAATTATTTTTTTAATTTTTGTTTTTGTATTATGCTCTTATGATTGAGTTTTAAAAAAGTGACAGCAGATTTGATGTATATAGCCCTTTTAAACAGAATCGTAGATACGCTGATGTGGTCCAGGTACGGTTTAAGTTTTTTGTTTGCAGTAAGACAATATATGCTATCTGTGCGCACGTTATGTTTAACATATACGTTGTATATGTATGTAAATATGACGTTTTGATACAGAAGATGAATAGGATATGTGCTATACTTCGCTGTTTGTCATCAAGCTACTGTACCTTCTATAGTAGAGTGCTTTGTTATGAACCCAGTTGTTAACATGTATCTTCACGTTAAAGCTTGTCAACATAAAAAAGTACCGTAAGTCAAAACAATGTATAGTTACGTATGAGTGAAAGCAATCCTTTAGATTGCAATAAAACATTTGTCTCATGAATAATTAAATGACAACGTTTTCCTACGTTCACCACTGTTAAGACGTTCTTTCTAATTTTTTTTACGATTTTTAACTGATTACGTCAAACGTATTGATGCAGAAATTTGTGATAATGAAATGTCAGATCATCAGGAGTATCGGGAATACTGGGTATAGCTAACGTTTATCACAATTTGTGTAAACGTATTAAAATAATTTAACGGAAAATTAAAATTGTACGCTTGGCAGTCCAATTCAAATGTTTTTTTTTTAATTTAGTCAAAGAGGTGTTGTCATTAACAGATTTGCGAAGCTCGCTGGTAGTGAATTTCTCAACTGAACTGGAAGGAAAACAAGCGAACGCTAGTTCAACGAAAACCAGAGTCGTTTGCAGAAACAAAAAGCTTATTTTGTGCAGCTAATGTCCTCACGCCTAAGGAATAATAAAGGCTTAAATCGACGACTTAACTCCAGAAAAACAAAATCAGTGGCTCACTTGTTCTTCGAAAATCCCAACTAGTGTATACAGATCTTTTCTTGAAAGCTCTGTTTGTTTACTGTACAACAGCACCGTGTCCGGCAGCTTATTTAAATCACTTTATTTTCTTTGAGGTTTTAACCTCAGTGATGTTTTGTTTTCTCAGGGGGTCTGAATCTGTAGCATTTCTCACGTTAATAGCACTAGTACGGTCACAGATGGGCTTCTGAATATCGATCAGTTTCTTCCTTTACAGAACGTCAATGTTTGGCACTGTGTGGCTGACCTCATCTGTGGTGAAAATACTACACACTTCTGTCGCACCTAAAACATTTCAATCAGCATGCTTAAATAACTCAACATATGCGTTTTGCACCCATTGCTCAGTCAATAATGGTTTTTCATGTGATAGGGCAACGTTTATAATGACTTGCTTAAGTGTATATCAACAACACTAGGCTCCAAAGCAATAAATCTATTCAGTTCTTTTTACCATCAGTTCAGAATAAGTATTATCAATATGTAAGACAATATATATTGTTCAACACGGTATTTGATAAATTCTTGTGTCATCCAAAAACATTCCTATAACCCTTGTTTCATTAAGATATGGTAATTAATCTGAACCTGTCTGTAAAACTTGAATTATGTTAAATCTTTTCATACTGCTTGTTTAAAGCACTTATTGATAAAATCGTTTATTGCCATAGTTTATTATGTAAATAAGTCACTGTTTTGTAGTTTAAAAAAATCATTTTCTTCTTTACAATAAATGTATGTGAGCCACACATAGGCCTAAATACACTTGAGGACCAAGATGTGTTGTACTCATTTTTATTTTTGGGTACGGGTTTTGGGTTTACTGATGACTGCTTCTGAAGGTTAATGGTGCTGCTAGGTTCAGTTAATTGTGCCAAAGCTTTTTGAATGCAGCATGGAAGTTATATGGTACATTCAAAGAAGGGACTGGCTTCAGTGTGACATCCATTTATCGTAAAGACCACTCACAACAGCCAGTTTAATTTCAAATAAATTGTACAATTCCAGTTCTCAGAAAGTGAAGGTGATTTGTACACTGTGAAACAAATGATAATGAACGTGGTAACGTGGTTTTAACTGGGCCAACTCATGTATCATTTCCAGCTATTATTAGCTGCTTTAAAATAGGGCTCCAGCATGCTCTATTTTGAAGTGCTTTTTTGTGGCTATATTTTGAAAAACCTTAACCCTAAATAGTATGCATTTTCAGTGAAACTTTGCTTTTAGACAATGTAAAGAATATAAAAATTTCTCATGTTTCTCATGTTTGTAACCTTTCAGCTCTTCTGGTACCTAGAGACCTGATTCCAAAATTTTTACTGGAGCAAGATGAGTGAACTTTTTGAATCTTTTGTTCAACAGCAGTTTGAGGTTACAACAGCAGTATCCCACCTGTGATTTGAACCCACAAGCTTTCCAAACTCCAAAGCCTTGACCACTGTTTCTTTCCATTTTCTTTATTTCTGTCGTTCCCATTCGGTTGTGCCTCTTCCTACAGTGATTTGGCAGCTACTGGAAAGCGCTTCTGTGTTTTCAGCCATCAGATTGTTTATTTTTTCCTCCTTGGTTTGTTTGAGGTCTGTGGACACATTTGTTCATAGTTACATCTTCTAGGATTGTTTATACATATCCTGTTGTTCTTCACATTTTCATCCTTAGTATTATTCCTCCTCCAAACAGAACGTGAAAATAACACAAGAAAAGTTTGTTGCTGAATTGTTTTCAGCATGAAACAAAGAAACATGTTCTAATTTGTTTTGTCCAATACTGTCCCTGCAGTTGTGTAAATGTTTAGCTCATTGGGTTTAATGACTATCTTCCCAGACCCTGTAAAGGCACAAATGGGTTTGTTAAGTGCATTGCAGCTCTTCAGCCTCCCTTCTAAGTAAGCCTAATAAGCCTCACTTAATTAAGATGGTCTTAAAGTGGCTAGGCACTGGAATATCTAGGGTTGGGACTGGTACAGTTGTCTGTTGCAAGCCCAGGTTACTGGGTTGAAGAGAAAGGAAGCCTTGCCCAGTGCAGAGTGTGCCACTTGGGATAAGGGAGGAAATGGTGTACTTGTCAGCATTTTGGTACTTCCTGGAAGGAATCGCACAGACAAAGAGCATTAACACTTCAGCAGAGGTCAAGTGTATTGGACACTCATCCTTGCATTTATTTTGAGTTCTTGCTTAATAGGTTTACACTTAGGAGCTCTACCATGCAGCATAGTGGGCACAGTTGGATAATTGACCTTTTATTGCTTGACATGTCCAATTAGTAGAATTGAGAAGAAACTCGGTCTAACCAGAATCACTGTTGTCTAGTGGAAGCATTTTTGGTCAGAAGCAGTTTAGTATTTTACCTTGAGGGATGATATAATTATTTTGTGCTTTGTTTACTTCAATAAAGGTTTGATGTTTCTTCCTTTTTAGTTGCTGTGTCACTTGTAAGACAATATTTAATAAAATGTAGATGACATTCATTGTCTAGGCACTAAGCATAACTAAGCATTCTGAAACTCAGGCAATATTAATCAATCATGAATATTGACCAGTACTTCATGTTAAACCTATAGTATAACCCAAAACATGAATACATTAGACATAAAAGGTAGGAATTTTACACATTTGTGCACATACTGTATATGGTTGGTAAATAACAGTGTTTTGTTTTAAACCTTGTACATATGGAATATTTATTTTAAGAATGACTTTGAATGTTCCCTGACTCGCAGAACCACATACAATACTGTATGTGCTATAGCTGTTTTTTCATATATGACAACATTGGTCATACCCCTAAGGAAATGTTTTTCACTCTGGGGTCATCCGTATTAGACTGTAGAATTTGGTTGTTGGAGTACCATGTTGCTGAAACAGACCGAATGACATCCTGAGATCAAATACCCGATAACTACCAAGCGCATTAGATGGTCCTAATGGCCTGCTCTGGATTGTACGTGTCCTTATATTCTTAAAAGGCTTGGCTTGAAAACCAAGGAATATTCTTTCATTTAAATTGTTTTGGTTTTTTTCAGCATTTTTGTATAAGTAACTCTACACTGTATGTTTTACTTTTGTGCTGGAAACTTTTTTTTACTGATATCACTGAAAGTGGTTATGGGCAAAGGCATTGACTGAATTGATAGGCTAATAATAGTTCTGCTTTATAGAAGCCACTTTAGTTTTTTAAGCCAGTGGAGCTTTAAAGTTGCAGTATTGAGAATACTGGGTACTGCATGCAATTTAGGCCTATTGAACTACTTGTGTGGGAGCTTGCGTCTGTGCAGTGTGGTAACAATATAGTGACAGTTTGTCACTTTTTCGTCCTTGGTTTTAAAGTCCTGTCTCCGCATTCATTTTCAGTAACATAGCAGAAGTGGGTGTAATGATGTAATGCTGTGATGGCAGCCTTAATATGCTACTCTGGACATTTTAACTTAAAATTACAATCTTCATTTCATAAGGAAGAAGTCGTGGTTAAACCATGTTTGGGGAAAAAAAGGAAGAAGAATGTTTTGATGGTGGAACCTTTTTCTAGTGTGAAGTTTGTTAACCTCTCCTTGTTCCTTTGCAGCTTCCAAACAGGCACAGCAGTCCCCTTGAAACTATTATTTGATACTTTACCCTTTGCAAAGCTTGCTGCCACAGAATGCTGCACATGAACTTAACTATGAGAAATAAGGATCCGTTCTGCTTACAGAAAAGGCAAGACTTTATTATATAAGAACTTGTACTGTATAATACAGTATGGTAAAATACATTAATACAACAGTGAATAAAGACTAAGTTGTAAAATAAAAAATAATAAATACTCTAAGCATAAGATATAATAAAGCAATGCACCAGTAAAGCTGAATACTCTACCTCTGAGGTTCTTTATTAAAAGGTTTAGAACAGTGCAGCAATGAGCATCGCGACATTAGAGAGGCTGAACTATGACTTAACAGAGCCAATTAACAGCACTTTTAAAGCTTCGTTAGTCAGAAACAGGACTAAGATATAAAGGATGTCTCTTGTACTGAATGAGTTCATAGTTTAGGAATATTTCTTTTCATT